CGAATATCTGAAGTTTGGGGAAACGCACAGGCCTAAAACTTGGAGAAGTGGCTTATTTAGTTATCTTCTATAACATCATAATTTCACAGCTTTTTCCACTGGATGGTTTTCGATTTATTTTTTTATTGCGTGACAGTGAAAACGATCTATAATTTGAGACTGTTCAGACGATTCGAATTTGCAGAAGACGATTCGCGACGAAACGTGCGAACCGAGTCAAATCGTTAACAATTTGATACTCCTGTTATTGCCTACTTCCGTTCAGACGATTTGACTCTGTAGGAGACAATTCGCGACGAATCGTGCGAATCGAGTCGAGTCGTTAACAGTTTGACACCCTTGTTATTGTCTCCGCGAGTCGACTACCGTTCAGACGACTCGACTCTGCAGGAGACGATTCGCGACGAATCGTGTGATTCGACTTCCGGTGAGGCAATTCGACTTTGCAGGAGAACATTCGCGAGGAATCGAGTCGAATCGTGAAGTACCTCAGACGAATCGACTCAGTTTGTTGTCATGTTTTAAGAACGAGGAAGGTTCTTATGACCATTTTCTCATAGGTCTTAGTGTCACGTGGTACGTATCGACTCCGTGTGAATCGAGTCGTATCGTCAAGTACCTCAGACGAATCGACTGAAGTTTGTTGTCAAGTTTTAAGAACGAGGAAGGTTCCCATATCATTATTTCACGGGGCTTGACTTCCGGTGGTGCGGATTGACTTCGATCGAGTCGAGTGTGAAAAAAACTGTTGATTCATTGCTTGTTCCCATTTTGCTGGTGTTCTTTAGTTTAAAAAGACGCTTCATGATCATCATTACTAATGATACAATAGAACATCTTTTGGCAGACTGGGAGTGATTGTGGCTCCACGTAAAATAAATGTACTCGCTAAGAGTTTTAATTCGTTGATTTGCAATATTTCTTTTGCCCACCTTTTTTTCGTTTTATTTATTTAAACGTAAACGCAGTCCAACTCATTTTCATGAAAGAAAGGGAATTGGGAAACGAGATATTCCATGGGCATGGTCTATGTTTGTTGTTGTTGTTTACGTTAGTTATGGCTGTTTTGGCTTAAAAATCCATCAGAGATGCCGTTTGCACCCACTTCATAGGTCATGTCCTGGTTACATGAAAGAGCATGTGCGCGAACCACTGGACTTTGTTTTAGCTGCATGAGAAGACTCGACAGATGAATCATAATTGAGGTTATTCATAACCCCATTAAAGAGTAGCACGGAACAACCGCTCACTGAGATAAAAGTTGATCCCTCACTAATCTTCTCAAAGGTCATTGTGGTCGTCTTCTTCCATTCGTCGTTTTCTTCATCATACGATTCAACGGTGAATTTGTCGCTTTCGGAAGTACAGGGTTCTCCCAGTCCACCCAACACGTACAACTTTTCAGCCAGGCACACCATACTACCCAACATTCGGGGTACGTTCAGACTGGCTATAACCTCCCATTCGTTTAGCGGTATTTTGTACAACTCGCAAGATCGCAAAACACTACAGTCCGAACCAATTCCGCCCGCGATGAAAATCTTATCGTGCACAGCGGAACCAAAGGCACGGCGTCTCGCCTCGTGTATGTCTTGCAATTTTTCCCAAGTGTTCTCTTTGATATCAAATCTTTCCACGTCAGATAGATTGTCAAACTTTTGAACATATCCTGCGCTCGAAAGTTCACGTTTTCGACCACCAATAGCGTAAATAAGTTGCTTGGCTGGTACAATGCAAACTTGGTCCTTCTGGCCCAAGTCAAACGCTGCAAAAGATTTCCATGAATTTGAATCGAAGTCGTATTTCCTGGTAATTGTTCCAGATCCGATCTTATCACTCTCAATGACGTAAATCTCTCCATGAACTGCAAATACTTGTTGTTCTTGTCTGCGATGAAAATCAGTCCTTACTTGTGGCTTAACGGGCCATTCCGTTGTAGTTAATGGCACCCATTTATTAAAAAGAGGTTCATACCGTTGTGAATCGTTCAATTCTTGGGCAATTGCGAAAAGTTTGCCCCGACACGAAACCAGATTTACAGACTCTGATTGCACATCAGGTAATTTCTGCCATTTATCGTCACCTGGGCAATGACACAAGACTCTCATCTGTCTACAGGCCACTATCGCATGTGATTGTAGTGACCTCCTTGGTAACTGTTGCCATGGAAAATCACAGTCAACTTTACCTTCAAGCCATCTTAGCGCCTGCGTCACACAATCTAAGCACTTAGCATCTTCTTTGACAAGAGAGTTTGTGGCGATAGACCTGGACAAATAGTCACGCGACACAAACATAAGTCTGACGTGACGAAATAACTCTTTGAATTCTCTCATTCTATGCCTTGTGTTCTGAGAAGTCCATTGTACTATAATCTTGAAAATATCTTCTTCATTGTTGATAACTATTTCGTCGCTTGAAATCCAGTTTTCAATTTCTTGGCTTGACAGATCCAGAAATTCTTTCGACTGGGCAACGTTAGCGAAATTTGACTCAACGTAACTGTGTACTTTTGCAACCAATTCGTTGCAATGATGCTCTTTAGCAAAATAAAAGATTGAAATGCAGTTGGAAATGCAGAGTCTTTTTTCTAAACATTGCTCAGAAATGATCCTCAGGCTTGGAAGAAGCAGATAATCCGCGGCAACAATTAATCCTTTGGCGTTTTCCACACTGTTTATCTGTGCACGGCCATAGTAGATAAACTTCAGGATGATTTCCATAAGTGGTGCGGATATCGTGTGAAGTCGAATGATCCCGTCTCTGCTTTCGTCCGTGCCACTTTCCAACCGTTNAGATAAACTTCAGGATGATTTCCATAAGTGGTGCGGATATCGTGTGAAGTCGAATGATCCCGTCTCTGCTTTCGTCCGTGCCACTTTCCAACCGTTTTTCAAAAAAATAACTCGCCTTTAGAAGGGCATCTCTACGAGCCATAAACACTGTCTCGTCTTTGGCAATCAAAGTAACATAGGTCGGTTGAGCAGCGCTGACGTTTTGCATCATGTTGCATTGAATTCTACATCTTCACGGCATTCTTCGACCATGGCAGTTTGAGAACCGGTAACATGACGTTCTGAGAGCTCCACTCTCACTAAAGACCAACCATGTGCTATATCAGTTTAAACACAAGTTTGGCAAGCGAGCTCTTAAATTACATGGTTTGATATTTCCAGTATTCGCGGACAAACAACGCGTCGATCCAATATCAGGTCTCATGAATGTCAAAATACTTAATTATCAATTCAGTGTTTATTGTTGTTTTTAGAGTACAGACTAACAGTTAAGATCACACAATATTGGATGCTACACAGGTTTCATTTATCAGCAACCACCACCAGTTTCCATTATTAGCCAACGCATTTAGACGTCTTGGATTCTTTATCCTTTAGAGGCATTTCCGGCAAGTTTAAGTTTCACAATGTCAATAGCGAGAATTAAAACACAGTAAATATCGATGTTACTAATTAATGTTGGTCTGATGACGCGCGTCTATTGTTTCTAGAGTTTTGTTTTGTGATTTATAGTGATAGGAACCTACACAACACTGAAGACAAACAATGGAAGAAAAATATGAGGTTCATTTTTGCGCTTTGTGGTAAGTGTTTTCGTTTTTGAATAATTGTTGCCCACGGCTTCATGATTAAAACTATTGACATCAACGATTGCTTGACACAATGACTGGCTACCCCCAGCACTGAAGCGATACTGAAGGTACAAAAGCCGCTAATAGCGTCAATTGACGTAATGGCGCACTTTCGATCTTCTAGTAGTGTTTCTCCGGTGGGACTACCATTTAAAAAGGACAGGGTACTCGTCGCACCTTTTAGGAGTTAAAAACTGGTTTTGGTACCCGTTAAGTTGTTCAGCCTTAAAACGTCCACACAGGAAGCTTTTGCGGTGCAATCCAATCCCTTTTATATGGTTTATATGGGCATAATTATTGTCGTGTATTTCTAGGAATAAATTCACATTCGATTTTGCTTATCGCTTTTTATAAAATTGTAAGCGGCGTAGGAATTTTAATATAAGTACCACAACATTAAAACTAACACAAGCTGTAGGACTGACAGCCTTTTTAGTGAGATTAAGTCTTCGCAAATTCCAATTCGGCTAACACTTCCAATTTCATTTTAATTTATTCGTGAAAATGCACCTGTGCTTGAACTGGTTTATGAAAATATAATTTAACATACACTTTCAACAAACTAGTACAGAGATGAAAGGTTCTCGCCTAAAATTCTCCACATATTATTTCGCTATATTCCATCCTTAATAATTTCTCGTTTTCGCATAAATTTCGAAAGTGTGTTTAGTTGTCGTTGCTTCTATATGTACGATACCAGATCACAAACAGTATTCTTTACACTGGCATATTTTAGCAAGACGTTACGAAAATCAGTGGCGAATTCGAAAGGCCTTGTGAACATGAAAGTTCACAAGGAAACCGCCATTTGTCCTTTCCACTGTACCAAAATCTCTCTGTCAATGCGAGGCAACTCGAAGCAATGCGAGGCTACCAATACGGCGGCCCGGCCTCAGTGAATAGACGTCTAAAATCAAAAATAAACAAAAGGATGGCCTCAAAAACAAGTATTAAGAATTTAGGATTTGTAAGATTACCTGATAACGCAGAAGCATCAAAACACAAGGCCCACCGTTTGACTAAAATATGCATGGAATTTTCGTAACAATTCAGTGAATAGAAGGCAAGTTTTAAGTGGCAGTTTTTTTGTTAAGCCTGTCCACAGGCCCTGTATTTTGTTTTGAGTTCGTCGAGATTGCAAGAAAAACTATTAAGCGCAGGGGATTTGAAAAAGCCCGAACGCAAGGAGGTGCTCGCATCACTCTCGCACTGGAAAATAAAATAACTCTTATCTAAAAATAAACGTCTGTGGGCAGGCTAGTTTTTGTTGTTCATATCTATTCATTGGGCTTAGCTTTGGCGGGACTATAACGTCCAGTAACAAAAGATTGTTGCGCGCGGGGTAGCGGGAAGAAAGGGGCGGTGTCGAGTGTTAGCTACAATAGACCAATTTCAATATATTAAAATTCAGCCTAATACAATAGACCTCAGCACGAGGTCT